GTAGAGGAACTTGAGAGCCCTGATCTTCACCTTATTGAATACCATTGGGAAGAATTGGAATGCCTTCGAATAGGCACTCATTATCACAAACACACTCCAAAATATAATCTGTTAAACTACAAAAAGACAGCTTCAAATAAATTGGCCATAGTTTTGGAAGGGAAGTCAAACAAATGCATATAGTGTTATAGTCAGGTGTCCAGTGACTTTGGGTAATATAGTGTATGAATGATACTGTTGGAAGAGTGAATGGCTGCATTATAGCAGTGATACAATGCCTGGCACTTAAGATACGTGATGAACATGATGGCAACACTAGTACCAAGACAGGAAAGTGAGAGGAAAACTTCCCATTTGAGCACTCAGAAAGCAATAAAACCTGATAGAGACATTAAGTCTCCAATACTCAGTATAGTAGGCTTTTAAAAGTTCTATTGGGCTAAATTGCACTTCTTGGACACCAATGGAACTAGTGCAGGTCAGTCATCTGTAAAATAAATCTACATTACTCAGCAGGTAAGTTTCCCTGTAAGCATTGTGACATAAATGTACAGATTGAGTAGCTGAGATGTGATCAGCAGCAACATGTAATTATAAATTTAGTTCATTCCTTGTTAATAAAGATATATTCAGTAAAATGTTCACTCATAGGTATTCAGAGACATATGCTCACCAATTAGCATCTGAAAAGACAGAGCAGCTTCCTCAGGCTGGAAGTGACACCTAAGTGCCAATAAGATTTGTCACCTTCGGGGAAACCTGGAAGGAAATGGCTCCAGATAGTTCAGCTGCAGATGACCAGGGGGGCTCTGATCCCTCTGGGGAGCTTTAAAGTTTATATGTCAGGGCCTGGACTTGAACCTGGGACTTCTACTGTGTCAGGCAGTAACTCTTCTCACTGAGCTACCTAGGATGCTGGACAACACTCTGCCTCATCTATTGGATAATCCTGCCTTGTACCTTGTTTGCTCTTGAACCTTGAACTCCTTGCTCCTCCCATTAACTTCCTATATAAGCCATGTCCTTGGACTTCCTCCTTGCCAGATTATTGTGCCTTTCCAGCCAATATCCCGCTACTGTTCCTGCTGCTGTCTACACCTCCGCTACTGATCTTTGGCTTGTTCCTGACCACAATTTTGTCTCATCCTAATGTACTATGATTGATCTGCTACCATTTGTGACCGACCCTTGGCTTGTGACCGACTCTGCTTTCGTCTGATCCCTAACCTGTTGATCCGCTATTGGTTCCCAGTCTGCTCATTCCCTGGTGGGGTGATCCTGAGATCTGCGACCTGGTATTAACACGCAGCCCAATCCATCTCCACCATTAGGAGCTCTGGTGAATACCGGTTATTACTTAGACCCCGCACCTCAGATGAGCCTGCGTCATTCCCAGGGGGATCCGCTGGTGTACCTATCCTGCTGGTTCCAGGTAAGCCTTTTAATGCTATAGCAACTGGTCACTGAACCTGACCTTACACCGTGACAATATACATAGAACAAAGGAGTAGGTTTCATCTCTCATAAAAAGCTAAAATATTAGTTGGAGATGAAAATACTTCCTTCTGATTGGACACTCTGTAGGCTACATCTGCATGTAAAAAACATCTTTGTGGCCTATGTAGAATGCCAGAAAAATGCAGGAAATGGTTACGTGGCGCCGGATCGTGACAGCTGAACAGAGATTGGTACTGTCGCGATCAGACTGATGAGCTGGTGTCGGAAATTCAATCCCTGACTTGGTGATTCAAACCATTCCTGGTCCAATCGACTTTTGCATTTCAGGACCCAGAACATCCTATGGGCGGGTACAGGAACACCCCCCAGAGTCAATTGGCCAAGGACTCATGTCCAGCCCACGTCCATATTCCCATAAATTCAGGACCCTGAGGTATGGACATGGTGATTCGTATGGAGCCCATCCTATTTAACTGACGGATCGCGGACTTTCTCTGACTTGCTCTAGTCGCAGGATAAATCTTGGTAAAAGTTTTATTTCTGTTTTTTTTATTTTATAGTCAATAGCCAATTGTGTGTCTTCTTGTATTTTCTGTAACTTTTTATACTTTGTACATATTTTATGCACTGCCCACTTTGGGATATTAAATCATAAAATTAATAAGTGACTTCTGTGTACTTAAGCTCAGGCTCATATCTCCAGAGAGATTAGATTGTATTGTATTTTAGTGTCTTTAAATGCTCGGTCAAGTTCATTGCCTATCTGTATGCAATTGCACTGTGTGTTGGCAGATTGCGTGCAGATTGTAACGGTAGCAGATCTGCCAGACGGAGATCTGTGTGTGTGGTGTCCCAACAGACCATTCTGCGGATAAACTGTTGGGTGGTGGCAAGCTACCGTTTGTGGTGTGTCTGGTGTGGGGTGTGTGGACAGTGGAAGAGTGATTAACACCAGGGTTCTGCCTTGGAGGATAGCTGGAGGAATCCTAGAAGGGTGTGTGATTGCTAGGCTGCTCCTCAACCCTAATCAGTGCACCAGATTGTATGTAAGATTTGTATCTGCCAGTGTGTGGTCGACCGGCTGGATTGGAGTAGAGTCTCCCTCCAGTGATGGCCAAGAGGTAGTGCGGGCTGTGAAAGTATATCACGGCCAGTTTTATATATTAGAAGTCCCCCTTATTCCCTCTTACCCCAAGTCACAGCTGCACGTGCGCGCCTCGATTAGCTAGTCGCTGTGGGCGTGGCGTGTTGGTGAACTGTGACAAACATATTTCAGATTTGACTGAAAATGTAACTTAAAAATATGACTGAAGTATATTCCTTTTCAATTCATTCAGAGGGACTGTGTGAATTTATGTAATCACACAGGTGTCTTATAAGAACAGATTATGTAAGTTTTAGGTGTGGACATTTTTACATACTTGGTCCAAGCTTGGGACAACTGTAACTATGCATATACAAATACCTGTGGGATCCCTGTGGAAGCTGTAAATCACTGTAGTAGGCACCACTACTACAGTAATCTCCACTAGCTTCCGTGTCCTGTGCCGAGCGGTTGCCCTGCTGCACTGTATTCACAGATGGTCACTTGCTCAGCATGGGTACCATTCAGAGAACACTTTGTATTTTCTGCATGAATGCAAAGCATTCTCTGATTGGACATGATGGCGAGGTAGAGAAGTGATGTCACAATCTCCTCATTTAGTCATAGAAGACTTTGCATTCATTTAGAAAATTGAGCGATTTCTGAATGGCATCTCTGTTGAGCAGGCAACTTTCTGTGTTCAGTATTCAAGTAGAGGAGCTGCTCAGCACAGGATCTTGAAGCTAATGATGACTGTAGTAGTGGTGCATACGACTGAGTTCTGGCTTCCACAGGGATCCCACAAGTAGGGTATATGCGAACCTCCATTGGTCCAAGCTGTACCAATGCAACTATGTAAGGACATCCATACCTAGAATTCAGCTTTAAAAAAGGTGGCTTTCTTAATGATCTAAGAGAGCATATCCATCTTAGGGCTCACTGGCAGCAGATGTAGGCCCCTGTATAGTGGCTGAAGGAAGTAGATATACACTTCTAGATAAAAGTCCTTCTAAACACACCTCATTTAAAAAGCATAGAAGAGTAAGATTCCAGAAATTAAAAATTTGTTCCACACAAGTCATTATTACTTTTAATGTTCTGAGCAGCAAAGTTGAGCATACAATTTGAATGAGCACAAAATTTCAGAACATAAGCAAACAAATGCTTAATTTGTTCACCAAATCATGCCTTGAACTTCCAGAATTGTTTGTTGCTGAATAAATAACAGAATAAAATGAATTAAAGAACATAAGTGATGAGTGAAATGGTAGTCAAACGCTCGATACAGGGATCCTCAAATGCGGTCACTGACATCACCAAGGGGCCACACGTAATATTCAGAAAATGTAATGCTGAAAACTGTTAAGGACTGTATAAGTGCAATAAGACATGTTTTGGGGGGGGGGGACCCATCATATGTAACCGTTATACCCCCTTTACCATGCTTTAACATTTGTGTACCCCTAAAAAAAATTAAAAATGAATTGTGCCACATTTAATATTTCTTGCAGATTTCTCATTACTAGAAGGCAGTTTAAAAATATTTTCCTTTACTGCCCCAAGAATATAGGTGAAAAAAAAAAAAGTTTTGTTTTATGCAATTAGACACTGTGCTGTGTGCAGTTTTGTACCCGTCACTGCAGATGTGACCATGTATTCTCTTACTGGTGCTTTATGCTGCTGAGTTCTTTTTCTTTCATTTTCTGCTTTAAAAACAAACATATTGAACAAAAAAAAAAAAACAGACTATTATCAACAGGGGCCAGAGAACCATACAATAAGGGCCACATGCAGCCCCTGGATAGGATTGAGCACCAGATTGTCTACTGTGCTGTTTTAGGAGTAGTTGTCTGAGCTGATGTTTTACTGCCCTCTTGTGGAAAATCTCAGTACTAAACCAATAAAAACCATACTAGGCACACATTTTGCCATTTGCTTTACTGCTGAATGTAGTCGTGTAATAAGGCTGATATTTATTATTACAGATTAAAACAAGTAATCAGATTAATTTTACTTCATTTATATTTTTCTTCTCAAAACAAAAAAATAAAATTATTTTTCACTTTGCACCAAACGCTACACGGTTATAAAAACAAAAAAAAAACCAAGCTATAAAAGTGGGTTAATTATAAAATCTTCATATCAAAGATGATGTTTTTGGGAGTGGCGAACCTGTATAGAAATGACAGTTCTTAGGGCAGAGTGTTGATTGGTTCCTGGCATCCATTTTCTGCACTATGATGCAGTTTGGTAGGAATAGGGAACAATTCACTCTGTTCACTGTCCATTACCAATGTCCAAACACAAACCTCATAGCGACTTATCCTGGAGTGAAATGTACCATACAGAGCTGTGCAGTGCAGATTATGTTGCTAATTCCATCATTAATGATCATATTTTTAGATGCAGAAGTTTGGTTGATAGTCCTTCTCTGGATATGGTGTTTCAGGATTTATTCCTCATCTGATGCAGCGAGCAGGGCCGCCTTTGCCCCCGTAGTGTTAGAATTCAACTTGCGAATGCCGATACTGCTGTCACTAGAGATCACTTTGCTCTTCCGCAAGCAGCTGGGATGGGAAAAAAAGTTGTAATGAAATATAAATAAATATTGGTATTGTGATTTATCCTTTTGTAAGGTCAATAATAAAGGCCAATTCCACCAAAACACCCCATCAGAAGTTAGGACGGAGAGATCTTGTTTATAAGAATTCTAAATAACATTGCAAATACATTCTTCCTTGAACTTTTTAAAAACACATTTCTTGTGTGTGGACTTGCGATACACATATACTTTAATAATCACTATGATGAAAAAAAACAATTTTGCACTCACATGGGATGTGCCCAGAAATCATTGGACACAGATACCTAGACCAAATTTATCACTGCTAGTATGTATCAGTTAAAGCTGAACTCCAGCTTTCCCTTCAGTCTTGCACAGTTGTACTCAGATTTCACTGCACACTGTGAGCTTCTCACAATGTGCATTAGAAGTTGTAAAAAGTCAGATACAGCCTGCCTCATTTCCTGGCTGAAGGACATCCAGCACTATCTAGCTCTTGCTCCCCAGCCTGACCCACCCCTTTCATTCACTGGATTTCAGAAAAGGCAAAATATAAGCAGACTGAACTGCAGTTTAAACATTTTGTTAACAAGAATTTCAGTACACTGTTTAAATAAAAACATACAAGTTTTGTGTCATGCAATTACAGTATTAAACAAAGGGACACTGACAGTTACAGGCCTCTGTAAGCGGAAATGTTTCTGAATGAAGCTTTCAGTTTTCTTGTGATCAATATATCAGAGTAGACAATGTTAGCATGATCAGCAACCACTCTGACAGGATCCCAAACATTAGTGAAGACACCCAAACTAGCAATTACAGAAAGGTTTAACAACTAGCAGTTGTGAAAAGTGTTGGCTAGTGATGGTCAAGGGGGGGGGGGGGGGGTACCATATCCATAGCATGTGGCACTACACTGAGAAAGGTTTACATACACATTTCAAGCAGGACAGGGAGGGGGCATTCTAGATGATGCCTGAACAGAAGTGTCATGTTTTTGTATTAACAAGGTACCATTGAAAGAACTCAGCCCTGATAGTTTGGAAGCATTATGCTCCTGCAGGATAGTTATGGCTAGCTAGAGTCATTTATTTGTAGGAAAAGAAATGCAGCTTAATGTGTAAAATGCAAATTTATGTTGGCCAGTGCCATCAATGAAATTGTTACACAGGTGATCTGTGCAGTCATCAATCTCTGCCAGATTGACCTAGTATGAAGGAGACAATTTAATTGCCAGACACCACACAGAAAAGGCTGGCCCTTGGGGGCCAATTGCCCTTTTACCATGCTCTACTCCGTCAAGCTGTCACAGTGTGGTGTCTGCCTGCATAATGAAACTGACAGTATGGGGGAGCCCACGGTGCTGGCACCCACAAAGGCCCTGACCTCATCTGGATAGCACTTTTTTTTTTTGCTTACCAATAGACCAGAAAATAGTTGACGCCCATGATCAGCACAGCCACAGCATAATGCCAACAGAAGCACATGGTAATGAACATAATATTCTCGTGATCCTTCTGGTCCCACTCGGCACCTCCTCCTGGTGGATACAGCACAAACCCAATCTGCAAGAGTATAAAACACAACTGAAGCCTTCAGATTTAGATAACCTTGCGTGAGGTTGACAACTGAGTTTATATAAAGAAAACCATTGTGAGATAAATACATGGCTACCATTGATGATCTCCCTCTGAAAATATCACTTTCCTGGCTGTGGTGCTTCCTGAGTTACTATCCTAGAACAAATACGTAGAGTAGGGGCTGTGATTTTACTTGCAGGAAGCTTTTTAAAAGTCAGGGACTTTAAAAGTGCTGAAGGGAAAGACAGCCAAGCAAACAGCATTTCCAGAATGTATTGGGATACCCCATATTTCTTTCATAATAGATGCCCCTGAATAAGAATAAAAAGCAGTATACGATAACACATAAAAAAACAAAATCAGTTATCTTTTAAAGCATAGCTATCTGATTGGCTGGTATGGGTTAAGGTGTTTTATTGTCACTGCACCCTATAGGCTGTACTGTACTTCCAGAACTTCTAGCCTTCCCACCAATCTGTTGTTTGAAATAATGGAGCCTGCTTCACAGACCTATCAACAAAGAAGGCATTGTGAAACCTGACACTGCAGAAAAACAATGACAGTATATCCTGTATGCATGTACTGCACACCTGTACTGTATTTGCCCACTGCTTTATTAAACATGCATGACAGTACCATGAGAAATACATGTAAAATATAAAACGTTTTTTGTTTTGGATGGATTGGTGAAGGAGTAGAACCCCCATCAGGTTTTTAGGTGAAAAAAAAGAGCAATCACTTTACTCCATCAGGAGTGTGTATACGGGTTTTTTTTTATATTTTATTATTTTAATTAAAAGGGCTGTTCCTTCCCTGCCATAAGGTGGTCCTCGCTCAGGGGGCCAGTGAGTCACGAGTTTTCCTCCTTTCTAGCTCTAGGCTCGAAGGCAGGCCCCATCACACTAGGCCTCCTGGCAGCCTTCCTCCACCTGGCTCCTCTCCCAACACCATAACTCTCCTACTGAGCAGGCTCTTAACACTTAAGGGAGTCTCAGCCCCTTGTCAAGCCTTCTGTTGAGGATTGGCTGAGGTCTGAGGTCAAGAGTGCAACAAACCACTCCTCAGATCCATCCCTTGCCTCCAAGGCCCTCCTTCGAAAGCCTCAGAACAGGGGGAAATGTTCAGAGGGACTGGCCTGCAGAGTCTCTGTCCTGACCAGAATTTTACCTGAACTGGCTGACTGACTCACCTAAGCTGCTAACCAGCTCCTTACTAACCATTAGGGTCTAGCTCCCCCTAGCTAAACTGGGGGGGGGGTGCAGCATCTGGAAAATAATAAACAAGCAGTGTCTATTGCTTGCAGTGCCCATTAGCCTCCTAGCTGCCACCAACAGCACTATCAGACAGGCCAGGTAAGAGTGTTTGGTTGACAGTGGCTCCTCCCATCATTGCAACTCACATCATGGCAGACTGGTCCCACCCATCAGCCAAGCAATTTGAATTGAAGAAGGAGCAAGGGAGGGTCACGTGATCTGGGACAAATTCAATGACTAAAAGGTATTTAGAAGCATTTTTTTTTTATACATCGCTCTCAAATTTTATTTGGGAAGAAATGCTCATCCATATTTTGTGAATAGTTTTTAGGGTTGCAACGGATTGTAAAATCAAAAATGTTTATTAGCCCAGATGAAGGAAACAGATTCCTGAAACGTTAATTTTCCAGGAATCTTCAGTATACATTCAAGCTATATAAAGATTGTTGTGGAATAACATTCCTTTGAACAGGGGCAGCTCCAAACAACATTTTTTGGGGGTGCTATGCTGGAAGTATGAGTGGGGGTGCTAATGTGGCGTGCTAAGTGTGCCAGCTACTGTGCACCTGTGGGCGTGGACAAGGCCATCAAGTGGGTGTTTCGTCATGGTCTATGGCTTGTAGTGTAACACTTTTTTCCCTTTGTGTAGGCCAAATAAAACCTGGGGGTAAATCGAAGAGACTGTGGTATTAAAATAAGCCCAGCCAGAAAATATAACCCCCAGCTTGTGTTAAGTTTAGCAATAAACCCCAGCACAGCATAATAAATAACTCCCAGATAATAATTAACCCACAGTCTTCAGAATACCTTATATTAGTGGTCAATGTGTATCTGCACAATGATGGTTAGCGTGTCCTCTGTACAAAAAGGTGATCAGTATGTCCTCTGTATATCTATAAATAATTCAGGGCAATCCTACACTTCCTCTATACCATAGTATAAATGGACTATCTGCAATGGTAAAACCTATACATGATGGATAATCCAGTGCAAATCAAGCAATGTATTGAAATATAGTAGTGATAGTGTCATCCTCTCTGCACATTTCAGCTCTGAATTTTCTCAAAATATTGTTGTAAAGAATGGTGAAACCCCCTACCTACAATAATAATAGAAGAGGTGCAAATCAACCAGTGTATTAGAACATAGTAGTGATGGTGTCAGGAATGGGCTCACCTGCTGTGTGGGTTGCAGTACCGGTACTTGCCAGCGGGTGTGTCAGGAATGGGCTCACCTGCCGTGTGGGCTGCAGCACCGGTGCTTGCCAGCGGGTGCTTTCAGCAGCCAGGATCTCACTCCTGCAATCAAGCCATCACCTGAAGCTGATTGCAGGAGGTATATTTAAGCAGCACCAGGCCTGCAATTAGTGCCTTGGTGTTGTCCCATGAGCCCCTGTATCTTGTTCCTGATTGTCCTGTACTCCTGATTGCCTTGTTGCCGACCCAGCCTGATCCTGATACTGCTGTCCTCTCCTGCTCTGACCCTTGGCTCGTCCTGACCATTCTCTGCCTGCTCCCATTGCCTGACCTCCTGTTACCGAACCCGGCCTGTGACCTGTTATTCTTTGCCTGCCACTCTGTACTGTCTGCTCCGCTGTTACCGACCTGGCCTGTCTGACCACGCATATCTCTTCACATCTGGCTCTTACCTGCTCTACGCCATTGGCACCTGCCTCTACCACAGCTGGTGTTCCTCGGGGGTCGCGACCTGGTGTCCAGGCTGCTTCAAGTCCATCCCCACCATCAGGGGCTCTGGTGAACCAGCAGACTGAGGCTTAAACTCCGCGCCCTGAGGGACTCCGGCCAGTGGGCCACTAGAGGCTACCGCCAGTCGGCCGCTGACGGAACCATAAGGCCTGCCTGACCATTCCACCTCTCCAGCCCTGATTAAGCCTGTGTTCCCGCACATAATGATATTAGTGGAAGGTTGGTTTTGTTTACTGTGCGTTTTGTATATTTGGGCGGCTAATAATAAATTATATTGTTATTACATCATTTCTGAAGCCTGTTACTTCCATGTGTCAGTCCACACATTTCTGGTCTTACCCAGATCCCTGACAGATGGTTTCACCCTCTATTTTATTTATTACAGGTACTTCTATAGCGCCGTCAATTTACGCAGCGCTTTACATGTATATTGTACATTCACATCAGTCCCTAACCCTCAAGGGGCGTACAATCTAAGTTCCCTAACTTACATTCATACATACACATACTACGGCCAAATTTAGACAGGTACCAATTCACCTACCAGCATGTCTTTGGAATGTGGAAGGAAACTAGAGTACCTAGAGGAAATCCACGTAAGCACAGGGAGAACATGCAAACTCCAGGCAGGTGGTGCCGTGGTTGGGATTTGAACCAACAACCGTAGTACTGCCAGGTGGAAGTGCTAACCATTTAGCCACTGTGCTGCCCATTTGCTCTCTGCAAATGGTAAGAAATATTGCAGAGCTGCAATGTGCAAATAATAGTGGAAAAGGAGAAAAAAAAAAAAATAGATGTGTGCATCAATTACATTTATTATTATTATTACCATTATTATATGTAGGGAGTTCAGCACTATTTGCACATTGCAGCTCTACAACATTTCTTAACATTTGCAGAAAAGGCGATACCATCACTACTATGTTCTCATACACTGGTTAATGAACACCTTCTATTATTATATGTTGGGGTTTCACCATTGTTTGCACATTGCAGCTCTGAAAATTCTCAAAATATTTTTTGCAGAAAGGATGACACCATCACTACTATATTGCAATACATTGGTTGATTTGTACTGTATATTCATATATAGGTTTTACCATTGCACTTATAAGTATATTTGTACTATTTTATAAAGAGAGTGTGGAATTGTGCTGCATTTTTGCTTTTTATTCCTTTATGTTGAAGGTGGGAACACATATCAATGCTAGCAGCAACCAGCTAAAAAGACTCTAGGGTTATTGCGTTTGAGATTCTTTTGGTTGCATGGTAGTTGTTTGATTTGGTGTCCCCTGCATACTGGTGGTCAGGGCTTTTTTCTCAAAGAATTAGTGCAGTATCCAACCATGCTCGCACCACAATACAAATGACCCCCTCTCCCCCCCCCCCCCCCCCAAAAAAAAAGGAGAGCATGCCACATCAAATGGTTGCTCTGGCCAAACTGTACTAACAGTGGGCATTGGTAAATACTGGGAGTGCAATACACACAGAGCGAAGGGTTGAGGAGAGTGCTACATGCACAGTGCATGTTTCAGTGTTTGGGTGTGCCCTACGTACACAGCGCAGGGTTCAGGGGTGCCCTACATACACAGTGCAGGGTTCAGGGGTGCCCTAAGTACACAGTGCAGGGTTCAGGGGTGCCCTAAGTACACAGTGCAGGGTTCAGGGGTGCCCTACGTACACAGTGCAGGGTTCAGGGGTGCCCTACGTACACAGTGCAAGGTTCAGGGGTGCCCTACGTACACAGTGCAGGGTTCAGGGGTGCCCTACGTACACAGTGCAGGGTTCAGGGGTGCCCTACGTACACAGTGCAGGGTTCAGGGGTGCCCTACGTACACAGTGCAGGGTTCAGGAGTGCGCTACATACAAAGTGCAGAAGTCAGGAGTGAGCTATGTACAGAGTGCATCGTGAATGGACTTAGGCAGTTGGTGTGCAAGAGCCCTGGACAGTTTATAGAGTGTGGGAAACAGGACTTTATTGTGACACTAGCAATGTTTATCTTAAAGATAATGCAAACAGAGGGAAGGAAGGGGGGATACAGGGAGGAATGGAGGAATGGATGAATGGGAGGGAGAGATGGTTTTGGTTGGATTGAAGGAGGGAGGGAGGGAGGGATGGTTTTGGATGGATTGAAGGAGGGAGGGAGGGATGGATGGAAGAGTCAGTGTATCCCACACTGTAAAAACAAGCCTGCTCTCTCCATGCTGGCAAGTGTAGGAAAATAACTTATCACTGCAGACTGGAGAATCTGCCTCTTGTAGTCCATTATCCATTGCAGGCTGTGTTCTCTCCACTCCTCTCCCCCTCCTGTGCAGCTGCTGGCAACTCCTCCTGTTAAAGCTTAGAAGTCAAGTCAGGTGGGCTGGGGAAGTGGGCGGGTACAATGCTTTCTGATTGGCTGAGGAGCCAGCAGAGGGGCTGTATATCAATCTGCCTCTGAAATCAGCCTGCCGAGACTCACTAACATTCATCGCTTTGTGAGCCTGGAACAGCTGTATCCCTCCACAAGAAAAAAAAGAATCCCCAGCCTTCTGGCAAAAATAGGAGGATCTGCAGGTACATTGAAATAAAATAAAAACCCAACACACTGATATATGCAAGTAGCGGCATCTGAATTTTGGGAGTGCTTCAGCACCCCCAAAGCACCCACCTGGTGCTGCCCCTGCCTTTGAATGCAGGGACTGCCACTACTGATCAAGTTAAGTACACAGGCATTTCCTCTCGCCTCCTGTTGTGTCTCTGGAACAGGAAGGGTAAGGAAATCTGTCAGGAAATAAAAATGCCATTCCTTACTGTATCTATAACTAAAATTAAAATGTTTTGGAGTTAAATATACTATAACTTTACTTGTATGTACTTTATTCAGTATGTGCTAGACCAAACATGATGCCCTCGTGGGTGGGCACCTACCTGCCAGAACCAAGTTCCCTGGAGGATCGTTAAACTTGAGCGGAATAATTCCAGGATAATGTTGTCTCTCAGAAACACTTCAATCATAATACTGACAGAGCCACCAAAGACCGCTATTAGCAACAGGGCATGGATGTGCTGATCCAGAGGGGGTCGATTGTGGACATGGTAATAGAATAGGAGACCTGTCAAGAGAAGGGTGGTGGGGTTATGAGGTAAAAGAAGGAATAGTAGTTTATTTATTTATAACAAAACAACACAGATGCATGCAGGAGGGGCCCTTCTCCAGGATTCTACATTGACCGCCTGGGAAAGGGACCATATCAAAGACTACTTTAAACATTTTATTAATTGCTAGAGTCTCAGCTTCAAACATATGTAATCAGATGAGGTAGTCATTAAAAAGGTGAAAACAATATCTGTTCAGATGCCAAAGTGGGAATGGAGACTAACAGGCATAAGAAAAAAGCTAAAATAACTGACTAAATCAAATTGACTTTACTTAGCCCAACAATGTGTGCGCCCATAAGAACCATTAAGAAGTCTTCCTACATTATCTCATATGCTGCATGGGAATATGAAAGACAATCAGATTTGTTGCTGTGGTCAACAAAGATTTCTTTTTCAGACTGATAAATATGGTTCACGGTACATAAACAAATGTGCAGCCATTTTTATCAACAGAAAAATCAACACCGAGGACACCAGTTCTGGTGAAAAATATCAATGATGGTACTTTCTTTCAGATACACAAAAAACAACATTTGCTAATCTATCCGAAATTAAAACAAGTAACCAAAAATATAGCCTTTAGATATATACTTTAAGCAAGACCTTAAAAAAAAATTAGCCTTCTTACCCTCAATGAAAACAGCCAGCGCCAGTGAGAGGCGATCCAGCCCCCGTGGAACATTCAGAGGAAAATAGGCAAGGATGTCCACCACTCCAGAGAGGCCATAGAAGAAGTACATGGTAGAATGTTGCCAATTCATAAGCTTCACCCAGCTTTGATCCTCACCATTAATTAGGTGCATATGAGGGCCATCTGGTACAAACTGCTCTGCCAGTATACCTGAACAACAAATATTGATAATAAAATGTCACTGTAATATCTGGTTAGTAATGTTTTACCACATATATCACAATCCGGAAATTTCTGCAAAACAAAGTGTGTCATTCAGGAGATCTTGTTTGATTGCCCATTCAGGTATTAAAAAAAAAAAAAAAAAAAAAAAAAAGTTCTGCCACACTCTTTATTTGCTGAATGCAGTTTAGCATGTCTCAATGCTGAACTGATAAAACAGCACAGACTTCCCATCTGCTAATCATGTGACATGTTCTGTCAGCAACCCCCCCCCCCTTTCAGAGTTTTCAGAGTCTGTAACAGTAACCTGAAAGGATATAACCTATCCCAAACTTATATGGCAGCTTCAAAATAGGATTTATACAAGGAATGTATGTGTTGACCATTACCAACTATGGTATCTAATTATTAAAGCCTAATCTGGCCAAAAATTAATTTTGAACTGTTAATAAAAAAAAATAATAATAAAAAATATATATATAATATATACACCAATGAAATGTGTGCCATTTGTGTGTAGAGCTGCATTTGGGAAAACTTTTACCTTCATTTTTTACAGTAACAAACTAAACAGTAGCTGCTGACACACACAGTTCCAGCTGGAGTACACAGATCATCCTAGTTTGTTTGCTCAACACCTCGTCCATTGAGAAAACAGTTTGCATTCTTTTCACAAATGCAAGGTGTCCTGTGAGTTGAGGAGGTTCATTGCAATCTTCCCTTGCCCAATCACAGAATGTGGTGTGAAAATATAAAACTTTTACCTTCATTTTTTACAGTAACAAACTAAACAGTAGCTGCTGACACACACAGTTCCAGCTGGAGTACACAGATCATCCTAGTTTGTTTGCTCAACACCTCGTCCATTGAGAAAACAGTTTGCATTCTTTTCACAAATGCAAGGTGTCCTGTGAGTTGAGGAGGTTCATTGCAATCTTCCCTTGCCCAATCACAGAATGTGGTGTGAAAATATAGAAAATTTTCTTAAATGAAGTGCTGAGCCAGCAACCCACTGTGATCTGGGTACTCCAAGCCAAAACTGGGAGACTCACCACTGGATGTTCGCCACTTACTGAACTAAATGAAAGTCAAGTTTTTTTTCCAAATGCAGCAGTATACACTAATAGCGCACTCATTGTTTCCATCTATTTATGCCGTGACCTTTATTTGCGGTCATCTCATATAGATACAAAAACAAAGTTGATGACACATGCAGAGAACAAAAGCCACCTCAGAGTCGAAACCTGGGTCAATACCATCATGATCCTTCACTTGTACAGTAGGTAATGCTGCCCTTTTCCAATCTGAGGGAATCTTTCTGTTAAGGCGACAGAACAAAAAAAGGCTCAAAAGCCTAGAGCATTACCTTAAATAATATATTAATAAGCCAAAGAGCAAAAAAAAACATATAAAATTACCACAAGGCTGAAAGCATATATAGTGATAAACCAAAGTGCTGATGAGTGTTTTCTGCTCTTTGAATTGTTAATAAATTATTTTACAGTAACGTGCTAAGCTTTAGTGCCTTTAATTGTCAATTTTGCTGTTCTCATACCCTCATGTTAGCAGGTTCCATGTGCATGTAAGCGATTCTCTTGGTGGTCCTCAAAGAGGGTCCTAGGAAACGTTTAGGCAAGAACAGGATAGAAAATTAAAAAGAGAAGGATGAGGGAACAGAGAGGAGGGAAAAAATAGGAGGAGGATTGGACTGAAAAGGAGTAAAAAGGAGGAGAGGGTGGAAGGTAGAAAATGTAAAATAAAAAATTGGAACTGGGTGTTAAAATGAACTGGAAATAAGCTAATGGGATGTCCAACTCCCTTGGTTTCCATGCTGTTTTTACAGTACAAATGTCCAAAAAATGTTTTGGGCTGAAGTTAGTTTGTACACGATTGGAGGGGATGATAAGGGACTATATCCAAGAATTTGCTGATGAAAATAGTATCATTAGTGGTAACCAGCTTAGGTTTATAAAGGTTTGTTCTTGCCAGGCTAACCTATTACATTCTATGAGGAAGTAAGCTGTAATCTGGATAAAGGAAGGCCTGTGAATGTTGTGTATCTAGATTTTTGCCAACGCATTTTATGCGGTGCCCCATAAACACTTAATTTACAAATTGAGGTCTGTTGGCATTGCCAACAGTGTATGTACTTGCAACAAGGGAAGCAAGGCTCAAGGTGGGTCTTCTATTGCACTCCGCTGCTATTACACTAATTAGGTGTAGGCTCTGCTCGTAGCGGTCTTCACAGAGGAAAGTTGAAATTCACCTTTGTTGGAAATCTTCAATAAATCAAACCATCCAACATCTCATTTCTTGATGTAAGTAAACCTTACCAGAAGTGATGGATGTGTGATCCCTAATTTATATAGAAAGCCATCAACTAGTAAGCACACTGTTTAGAGCGGACTCAGGGCATCCCAATTATACCATCAAGGGTGTTCTCATGGGTCACTTTTTAGAGCTCCAAAAGAATACTCAATGATAGTGATTTCAATAGGGAAGCTGAATTACTATGGGTCTGTTTTAAAACAGAGGGGCTATTAACCATAATTTTTAAGTAGCGCCCTACATATAGCTGGAAATTAACAATGAGGTCAGCTTTTAGCTGATAAAGTCTGAGTTTCTCGTGATAGTAATCTGCTGGGTTTTTTTCCACCCCATACAGTGCAGAATTTAAGATTTGGGTGATATTAGAACGTTCTTTACCTGTGTAGTTCAATGATCCAACTTATAGATTCTAGTGCAGGGCATTAAAAGTGGTGCCATGGAGGCATGGCGGATGCTTCCACCAAGCAAACCAGGCAGACACCTGGGGTGCACTGCCACCTAGGGGTGCCTTGGCGCAGCACAGACCTGTATTCTGTGTGGCCTATGAACCACAAATTTTATCCCTGACCTATCTGATATGTTCCTTGGCCTTCATGATGCGGTTTGTTCACTAATGTTCTCTAACAAACCTCTGAGGGCTTCACAGAACAGCTGTATGTATACTGAGATTAAATTACACACTGGTGGACTCTATTTACTAATTAGGTGATTTCTGAAGGCAATTGGTTCCACTAGATTTTAGTTAGGGGGTATCAGAGAAAAGAGGGCTGAATACAAAATGCCAAATACAAATTACCAGAAGGTTTGCTGTGTCTCTCATCAGTCTCAAGAGCATGGAGGAGATTCCAGGAGACAGGCAGTTACTCTAGGAGAGCTGGGCAGGGCCATAGAAGGTACCTAACCCATCAGCAGGGCCCGTATCTGCTCCTTTGTTCAAGGAGGAACAGGGTGAGTACTGCCAGAGTCCTACAAAATGACCTCCAGCAGGCCACTGGTGTGAAAGTCTCCGACCAAACAATGAGAAACAGACTTCATGAGGGGGGGCCTGAGGGCCCGATGTTCTCTAATGGGCCCTATGCTCACTGCCCGGTACTATAAAGCTCAATTGGCATTTGCCATTGAACACCAGAATTGCCAGGTCTGTCACTGGCGCCTGTGCTTTTCACAAAGGAGATCAGGTTCACCCTGAGCACGACAGATGTGAAAGGGTCTGGAGAAGCTGTGGAGAACTTTATGCTGCCTGTAACATCGTTCAGCATGACCAGTTTAGTGGTGGATCAGTGATGGTCTGGGGAGGCCATATCCATGCGAGGGACACACAGACCTCTACAGGCTAGACAATGGCACCCTGACTGCCATTAGGTATTGAGATGAAATCCTTGGACCCACTGTCAGACCCCTACACTGGTGCAGTGGGTCCTGGTTTCTTCCTGGCGCATGGCAATGCCCGGCCTCATTGATATCATTGAATGGCCCTCACGCTCACCTGTCCTAAATCCAATAGAACACCTCTGGGAAACACTGTTTCGGTCCATCCGACGCCACTAAGTTGCACCTCAGACTGTCCAGGAGCTCAGTGATGCCCTGGTCTGGAAGGAAATACCCAAGGACACCATCCGCCGTCTCATTAGGAGCATGCCCCAACATTGTCAGGCATGCATAGAAGCACGTGGGGGGCCATACAAACTACTAAGTACCATTTTGAGTTGCTGCAATGAAATTTCAG